ACTGAGCCTAGTATGGGGCTCCTCAACAGCGCTCATCCATGATCCCACACTCAGGACTTTCAATTTCGTGCGAATGCCTAAACTCTAGACTACTGAGCCGGGATCCAAAGGTGTTGATGTCTAAATTCGACCAATAAATGATATTAAGTGACCATCTCCCATCGTCTTCGGTGGGTAAAAGCCTCACAACCAACACGGTTGAACTCCACTGGACACGGCTTCTCATTAGAACTCGGAGAATCACTAGTGAGCACATGATAATTATCAATACAGGGTTATGGAGATTGTTGAGTTTCAACTGAGACCACACTAGAATGAAACGGCTGTCCAGTGCTTCCAGGTTTTCAATAGTGGTACATGATCTCAATTTAATCTTAAAAATGAACTGTTACATAATATCATTTGGTTTTAGTTAAACCATATAAAAATGATATTGATTATTTAACACTCGATGCACGATATATATATATATATATATATATATATATATATATATATATATATATATATCAAAGCAGTAATCAACGACTTACAAAATAAATTAGGTAGTACATACTACATAAATTAACAGACATTTGAAAATTATGCAAAAACCCTCTCACCATATTTCGAACAAGTTCATGTTTCGCCTAATAAAACTTTTCTAACCATAAAAACTAATGTAAATAGATATTTAAGTAGTGACATAAGTTTACGGAAAGACGGAGGGTGTTTCAAACTCTCACCTTGTATGTGGTCTGCTTTTAAATGATTTTACAATTTATACTGGTATATATTAGCACTGGCAAGCATTAATGGATACAGCAAAAAAATCTCCACATATTGTCTATTCATTGTGATCATATATATATGGGTTTTTAAGTCAGTCAGGGGCCATTGATTAGAGTGTAAGTGGCATACTGACAGCAGTCTTCGCAATGCCAGACCAGATTAGAGAGTAGCAAGTTAATTCATTTATTAACAACCTACAAAACTTGAACCCTGTATTACTCTAGGAATGTTTGGTGTACATGTCTATTCGCAAAAAAGGGAAATACCACATCTGAGGTACTAAGATCAAATTGAATGGATAGTAAGTTTTATATGAAAACTTTATTAATAAAAACACTATGGTATTTTCGTAATTATCAGTAAGTTACAATAATAGTTACATTGTGTTGGCAATCAGCTTTGATGCCCTTATATTTTCTAAGCAGTATAAAACGCTGGAACTATAATTTGGACTAAGTGAAAGAAGATACACTTACTTTAATTGTGGTTAGAAAACATATTTGATATGACATTCTCAATATAGCAACCTAGCCGTTCCTTAACTTCGATTTTGCAGACTCCACAGACAGTTTTAGGCATCACAGCCAACCGGTATGAACGTCCCAATGTATTGAGTCTTAATTCAGTTCCAACTGGCAAACATAGTAACAGCATGACTTCATTCGAGTTGCAATTGATCGATAAAGGAGTGAATTCAGTGTCCTTTTGCTAATTAGTGCCCTTACAACAAGTGGACAATCGTAGGGGTTCTGAAGCTAATCTCGATATCACATATAACAGAGGTCAATTCTAGTCGAAAACGAATGAGAGTGTGAGGATCAACTCGAAAATAAATTCATTAACCATTGATTGCCTTTTATCCACGTATTTTTGGGAAAATACTGATGTAACACACCCAAGCAATTAGTCAATCAACTAAAGTTTATTTGTATTGTTTTTAAATAGAGAGAAATTCATGAATAGATATATGGTAATATTACCCTTATAGAAAAAGACGGATAGTTATAAACAAACAACCAATACAATTGAATAGGAAAATCAGTTTAGTACAATTCGAAACTAAGTAATATTGGACATTTGATTATATGAGTTGTTAATTTTGTTTATCTATAGTTCAAGGAGCATTAGATTTCATCATTTGATCACTTTCAACCATTGAAGAGTAATAGGAAGAAACATATTAGGGAATCAATGACGTGATAAATTGTAGTGGGATACAAACATATTTGGTGTCTACTTTTGCACTACATTAAAAAAGGAATTTCCATACGATATTCAATGTGCATAATGTGTGAAGGAAATCAAACGCATCATTCTGTCCACGTAAGTATTTGCTGCAGTTACATTTACTGCACTTCATCTTGTTGTGTTAATGAGACACGGAAACTTGGACCAATGCATATATGTCCTACATTGTAGCTGACTGACTGCACCCAAGATCGTGTATGATAGGATTTAAGCAAAATGATTGAACACACTGAATATATTTAACGACTATGATACCATAATCCCTATACGATTATACAATAATAATGATGATGATAAAAAAGTCAATCTAGCCATAGGTTAAGGATTTGTAAATATTAAATTAAGTGTTCCATTCATAGAAGCTACATGGAGAAATTCTTGATACAAGATTACCAAGTCTACATTTTAACTTTAAAATAACTGGACAACTGCGCCGTTAGCGTTTGGGATTTTAAAGCGAGATGTTTTGTTGTTTTTAAAGTCCGACAACATATTGACCAAGAGAATCAACACCTTGAAAGCCCGTGATCAATGAACTTTGATTTCACTCAACTTAAAGTTGAGTGGAATGCCCTGGTACGGCCGAGGGTGCGAAGAGTCAGCTTTACCTGTCGAAATAATCTCACATGGCGACGCATACACATCCACTGACAAGGAAACCTACTCACTACCTTCTCGCGGCATTACTGTTGTCTACGAAATTGAGAAGACGAAAAGTGAATGTCCGGCGCTTTAACCGGGTTAGTGGAGACGGAGTGTCCATCCAGGGGAGTTGGAAAACTCTGATTCCAAAGCAATGGTGCACATGGGCTCCAGTATCCTAAAAGAACAAGTGGAATATGAGCTGTTGGTCACCGGCTGCCATGGGACCGCATCTCCTTACGTTGCTCCACTGCTTTGTGGATCAGACATTCAGGTCGTGGCCCCCTAAGAGAACCACCTGCTTCGGTATGGGCACCCGGGCATAGCCCGCACACAAAACAATTGACTTGTGTGGCGCATATATATTCGGCGCCCCTTTGTACAAATATTTACGCGTTCAAATAAAATAAAATAACCCAACTCCCAACACACTGATTATACTATGGTGTTTGTATTATGCTTATGGTTTGGAAAAATTGCAAATAATAGCTAAACAATACTATGTATTCAACTAGATGAATCAAGAAACTACTGTTGGGATCCTACGACAATTCTTCAATAAGATGCCCCAACATCGGAAAAAACTGAAAGCATTTCTCCCAATCACCATGTTCCATGAAGACTTTTTGAAAATTGATGGACTGTGTTAAATTTTGACTGGATGACCACTGGTTCGGTTACTAAATTTAGGATGCTTTCAGAGTTTAACAGTTATCGATGAAAACATAAATAAACGGACCTTGAAGTGAAGCTCCTACTCTTACTTCGAGACTTTTCTCTAGTTAGAAGCTCGAGTCTAGGAGCATTTTAGAAAATTAGCAAGTAGCTAGGATATTGGTGTCACTTACTAGAGGGTTTTAGAACAACAATCATATATAACTTGACTTTCAACCATATTTAACGAAAACTATACTGATAACTAGGGACATTTGTAAATCAACTTATTGCCATTTTGACACAAACGATATAAATTTGCTCTTTTTTATTAATTAGACTAAATCTTCTTGTAAGTTAACTCAGAAAAAATTCAGTAAAAAAAGGTAAATCTGTTCACATTGACAAAGATAAGTCAGATATAACAATCAGAAAATTACTATTCGCATTTATTTTTTGTGAAGTCTTAATTAGTTAGTTGTATAGTTGATAAAACAATGACAAATAACGAGAAGAAACGGATCGAAGAGAAAGCATGAAAATGGTTATCATCGCTTTTATTATTATTATTATTATTATTATTATTATTATTATTATTATTATTATTATTATTATTATTATTATTATTATATAGGAACGAGCTTTCATACTTGTTATTTTCCTAATTATTGGTAGAGTCGACAGTATTTTATGTATATATCAATATATTGTTAACATGCAGAGTTAATTATTATAAACGATAATGAAAGGCTACCATCAATCTTTTTTCCAAGTCCCCAAAAAGGAGTGAAGAGGAATAAAGAGAAAAAAAACCATTTGGAAACATGTAGACTATTAGTGACTTAATTGATTATTACGATGAGTAGTACTAATTCGTAATTTGATCAATAGTTGTTACTTTTAGACGAACAAGCGAACAAATACACAAAAAAAATTAAGACCAAACTAACCGAAATCATAATTTCTTTAAAGCAGTTCATTATTAGAAAAGGGTGAAATATAACAACAGAAAAAGCGAAAATGCACATGTATTGTTATTTATTGGGAAATTAACAAGTTGGCTGCTTATTATCATTATTTTTTTTCGTAATCAATGTAAATGTATCATCGTATGTATGTATAATGTTGTAAGCTTGAAGTGATGGAATAAAATGAATCAGAAACAAACAAACAGAGAAACGAACAAATACATGAATAAACTAACTTAGTGATTATTTGAATAACTTTACAAAAAATAAAATAGAATAACTATAGCGATAATAACAATAATAACATCCTAAAACTGAGGATTATTATTAAAATATCTCAAGAATAACTTATGCTTCCGATTTTTTTTTAAAAAAAGCAACAGTATCAGCAACAACGTGGTGATTAATTAAAGAAGTTATATGTGTATGTATGTGTTGGCCTTCGAACCGGAGGTAAAATAAACGCGCTTACATATTTATAAAAAAAAACTTCCGAAACCAAGAGACTTAAAAAACGAGGCGGATGTTTGAAAATCATACGAAAATGCGCGCGCGCGTTTATTTAAAGCGAAAAGAAAACACGGACAAGTTAATTGCTTGTGCACTTTGTGAGCCTATATTATGAAGCTACGATAGTGAGCGAGTGACAAGGGATAGTCACAAGTTATTTTTACTACCTCCACAAAAGTATCACAAGCACATCCAATAAAAGATCAACTACTTTTTGCGACCTAAAGTGAAAAACTTTTTCTTCCCGGGAGCAGAAGAGCTACTAGCTACTTGAGACTCAGGAGCAACTCCAGAAGGTAAAGTGGCAGCTCGTCCTCCAGCAGATGAAGAAGACTCCATTGGTTGCCCACTTGCACTTGATGCCACTGCATTAATAGCTTGAACCCAGCTATGCATATGTTTTTCAGAATGTGCTTGAAATAGAGATTCACCTCCGTTCGAAAGTTTGAGACGGAATACAAAAGAGCGTTTGGCGTAGTTGTACGCAGGTGCAGCGGAAGCGCCCACTAAATTAACAGGGAGTTCATGTCGATATAAATCCCCAGGTCTTTCTTTGGCATGTTTTTGCTCTTTATAGGCAGAAAGTGTGAAAGACGTTGCAGAGAGGACAAAATACAACTCATGCCAAGAGCGAGAAGAAGCTTTCTTTGTGCCTGTTTCCCATTCATGTTTACGTGTTAAAACACCTTCAAAGTCACGAGGGACAGGTTTACCAACATCAGAACTTCCACGTTCATGTCTTGGGGTGGTTACCGTTGGAAGACGACTACTACCTTGTTCAGCATCTCTGATATCCACAGCCCGCCTATCAGCCTCTGAAACCGGCGTTTGTACAGGTACGGACACAGGAGGTGGAGGTGGCTGAAATTCTCTAACAGCTTCAGCTATTTTCCTTTCTTTTTCCAATTGCCTGGCAGCCTCGGTTTCTGGAGTTCTTTCACGTGCTTTCAATTCAAGCTGAAAAAAAAATGAAAAAATCACATTGATATTAACTGGAGAAATTTTGATAAGAGAAAGGTGATAATCTCTTAGTAACTTAACCGAAACAGTATTTACTAAATTTATAACCCTTCCAGTGACAAATATCAAAATTGACGAGAGCATAACGGTTAAAATGTCGTAAACACACATTTATTGAAGGGAATGATAACTAGAACTTACAGTTGTAAGTTTCTCTAACTCTCGGAAACGTTCTTCTTGTGTAGCGGCTGCACGTTCAAATGCAAAATGTTTTTTCAACAATGCTAAGGTTTCATCTAACGTTTCACCCAAATCAGTGTTATTAAGATAAGCTTCTTGTGACGTAAGCCAAGTATCTGCTATCTCAGCGTCCCGAGCAAACTCATATACCTCCATAAGAAGACTTAATGTTTCCCATCGCTCTGCCCATTGGTCATTCAGCAAAATTTTTTCAGTTACCAGCTAAAGCAAACACAAAAAAAGTCATATAAAATATAAATACAAATATACAGCATCGAGAAAAAGTATATAAGATCGTTAAATATTGATAGTAAATCACCTGAATGCATTTTTTTCTGACTTCTTCTTCTTGAGGATGTCGACGATTTAGAAGAGTTCGACCTAAACTTAGGCAAATGCTGAAGTTTTCCTCTCGAGCATCTATTTCAGCCATTAGGCTACGATGACTATTCATCAGCAATTCAACTCCGGATACATCCCTAGAATATGTAACACACATATATACAATATAGCACACCATTAAAAAACTAATAAAACAATCAAACAATGGTACAAATACTTTATTTAGGAAATAACCGGCTATTGCATTAAGGAAGAGTACATTCCACTTTTAGTTCACAGTTAAAAATATACTGTCATACCGGAATAATTATATGAACCAGCTGAAACAAGCATCGATTGGATCATTTCAACAGTTGTTTTTTCCGCGAATCAACTAAACGACTCATTTACAACAAATACACAAACGATATTAGTTGTACATTTTGACTAGCCAAACTACTGAGAAGGTTATTCATTGACTTTTAACGTGTTAAAACTACTAATAAACTATGAACGCTTCTACTATGCTCTAGCCTGTTTGTGACTAGAAAAGAATTTGTGTGTCGATACAATAAGAAGTAAACAGATAAGTTTTCCTTATCCTACACTAACGAGGCAGATAGTGATTAGTATAAAACGAAAACCTGACTGATACGCAAGAATTGTCGATTAATTATTGAAGAACTTAATCAGAAGTGTTAATTACGAAATTACTGAAAGTTAAAGCTGTATGATATACAAAAGTATGATCAGTGACGAATAAAATACGTTAGACGATAGGAAATTTACAACTAACCTTGGCTTTTCTTTAGTAGTCATCTCCATACGAATAGTATCCATCCACAAACGAAGTTCACGTACCATAGAGAAGAAACGATGGACATCAGAGGCATCATGTAAGCGTGCTTTACGTTGTTCCGCAGCACACTGTAGTTGTCGCCATGCATGAATAACTTCGTCCCGGCGGTCACATATAAGACGCTCTTTATCTGCGGCGTAAGACGGTAGTAAGCTATTAGCCGCTTCTACGATCCCTTCCACCTATAGGAGAATATAAAGGATGATATTATTAAACATTGAATGAAGACATTTCTGTATTACACACAAGTTGTGTTTCAGCTACGACAGTGATATTCATATTAGAATGCGAAACCGTCAACATAAATACAGTAATTGTAAAAGCTATTTAAAACTTGATCATTATGATGTCTGAGAAGAAAATTTTAAAGTTGAACCTCATGATATTGGGTCATAGTCAATTAATTGTTATAAATAGTGAAAATAGAACTTAGTTCAAATGTTAGAAGGTAGATTAGACAGGAAATCATTTCCTCTTGTTAGTGATAATTGGGTCACTTTTAGACAAGATTGTTTTACAGTTTAGAAATATTTTGATATTAACTTTGTAAATAGTACAAGCTGTAGGACCACAATAATTAGATTTGTGATTTTATGATAGGGCCTTATTCATATATGACCAGCAGTGTTAGAGGATAATTGTGAAGTGCCAAAGAAAATAATTTGTGATTTTTACTCAACTATTTAATGTTCATGTACCGGTGTTCATGATTGTCCAATCAAATTACTAATAACAACAAAAATCGCATCACAACAACTACGATTTAAAGGTTAATTTCAAGAATATTGTATTTCTCGACATATCTACTCATAGTATTACGAAAATAGTAAAGAACATAATTGATACTTGTCAGTCATTGTACTGATGTGATATTTACTGTGAAAGATAACCAAACAATTATCTATAAGAAAAAGGAATAGTGTTAGACCTACAGAAAAACTAGTCCACTAATTCGTGGGAAATGCTCATTTGAAGATCTCGTAATCATAACCACATCTCTATCGGTGTATTTAGGTAATGAAATGCATCACTCTTGTGAAGAATGGAGAAATAGCAAACACAAAAACAGGTCCACTTACTCGTGATCCAAGACGTGCCAGTTCACATTCAAATGTATTGTGTTTGCGTTGAAGTGCAGCGACAGCTTTAGCATCACGTCCAACTTCTTCTGGAATACTGCTGACTTTGTCGACAATACGATCGAGAACATCCTATAAAAAATAAGGATAATTTATTATCCCCTTTTTTGAAAAAACTGATACTTAACATATCAATCATAATATGGAAAATATTCACGAAAGATAGCAAGAAATAAATCCAAGGAATATGTAAAGACAGGAAACGGTTAGCAGCTTCGTTAAATACAGTTTTCAAATGAAAATAAATACAAGGAAAAAGTAAGGTGTATAACACAGGGTGAAATTGATTATTGATTATTATTGACTGAGCTTCAATACTGGATTTAGCAAGATTTATATGGAGCTATAGAACTCTAGTTATCCAGAGAAACACATCTCGCACTCTCAAATTAAGCATTACATTACACATTTGTACTGTTTATTTTTTATGCGTATATTTTTTAGATCCTGAGGATAAATGCTAGTTCGTAACTGAAACCAAAATATCATAATTTATGGAAATTCAATAAGCATCTTTGAAGTTTAGTTGGCTTTTAACACAGAAATATTGGATCAAAGGGGAATCCAAATAGATATTCACCACACAAGACGGTTGTGGAGATAAAGGAAGATGAGAATAATGAAACGAAGAAAAAGATTAATTAAAATAAGTGAGTAGAAGTAGCGAATAGTGGGAAAAGCAGTTCAGTTAGGAAAAATACAACCAGAAAGAATCCTTCCAGTTTAGGAAGTTTCTCTCACTTTTGTCGAGTAAAAGAGAATTACAGCCGAAATTTCACTAACACCTATTATGAACCATAGAAACATATACATTAATGGAATGCTGAAAATCTGTAATCGGTAGACCAACTCTTGGATTATAACCTCTAATTAATGCACATATATCTGTGAGAGAAGTAAATTCTAGATTAACTAATAAACACGTTATAAAATTGAGATCATAAGCTTAGTGTCTTTATTGCAGACTGATATTTGAATAGGTAAAATTTGAACGGTGGGACTATAATTTACGGACGACCTTTGAGACTCCAAACTGACCTTGAAAATATCCAACTACTAACTAGGGCTAAGTGAGGGTGGTTATAAACCTGTGTGAAGAGTAAGGATTATGATTTATAGTTGATGGTTAAGGTTAAGAATTAGATTAGGGTTCTTCATCACGAACTGATATCAGCCAAAATGAAAAACACTATTTAGACAAATGTGTGAGTGAATTTCGCGCCAAAATCCAAGACCTCTTATCCTAAGTCCATAAATTATAGTCTCGCCAATATGGACTATATGATCCACATGAATAATTCATCAGCAGTAAGTAAATCATCGTAGTAGTAACTTCATACTAAGTGAATGAAAAACATATCAGATTCCAGAATAAACGCTACAATGTGACTTGTTAAAAAATGAAATGGTTGACAACTTAAACAAGATTATACCATATTTAACAGCAATACATTCTTTTTTTGCAAATGTGAAGAAAGAATAAAGTATAGTTACGTGACTAGTTTATGAGAGAAATCAAATCTTTCAAAATATAATTTACTAATGTCAGAAAAAAAACAGGGTATTTAGTAAATTCCACTTTTCTAGAAGTATACAATGCTTGTAGGATCAGAAAAGTGATTTAGGCGATAACTGTTTACGAGTTGTAAATAAGAGTAAACTATTTTTAGAAAAACAATCTTACTTGGCAATCTGCCAAAAATTTATGTAGATCCCATGCAGTTTTCAAAAGTTGAATACGTGTATCAATGAGCTCCAGTAGATCAGCCCATGCTTCATTAATTCGATCCTTCCAACTGGCGATTTCAGCAGCTTCGCTGTGACCCTGACCAATAAGAGCGTTACATAATTCATTCGCTGCACTAATACGATATTTTCCAAGTTCATTTGTTTCACGAGAAAATTCGGTGAAACGTTCTCGAAGTAAACAACAATGTTCGTAATCTGCACCAACTTCATGACTACTTGCTACCAAGATACGTTCTGCAATCCAAGCCTAGAATAATGTTAATTTTAATCAGTCATCTAAGTACCGACATATAAAACTTTATGGAGGCAAATATATCAGACAACTATTGAAAACAGTTCGATTACGGAACGTACTAATTGAGAAAAATAAATAAAATTAGTAGAACACGACACCATGTGACTAAGTAAACATAATGGTGTTAAAACAGAGAAATCATATACTTGAAAGGAGTTCAAGTTCATCCGCCTGATAAGATAAAATCTGTTACGTGACCTACATAAGATTTTCGTATATTATTAACTGATCGATTTTCCAGACAAGCATCATTCTTGGCAAAAGCTGAAAAGTAGTCCAATCACAACCATGGAATAAAGAATAGTTGTTTCAGCTCAGTTTTGTTGATGACGAAATTGAAGTATAAAGACGATAAATATTGAAATTTCTTCAGGATAAATAATGGTACAAATTTTCTAAGGGATATTTAGAATTTGCATATACTGAACAGTTTTTGTTATACTAGAACTGATCGTACTTCTTGTACAGCAGAAATTGATTTAGTGTTACATTTGTGTAGTTAAGAAACGAAAAGTTACTACATGAACATGACATGGGAATTGCATAATGTGTATGAATGTATGTAATGAAGAAGAAATACGAAAGGATAAAGAAATATAGAGAATGTGAATAATTGGTAAGATTGTTTATCAAGTGTTATTTGACCGACGGAAGGACAAGAGTGCTACACATTTCTATTGAACACAGAGGCTAAGGTTGTTAGCTTGAATCCCCATAGCTTCCAGTGATACGTATGAAACGAGATAAAGTCCTATTAAAAAACTTGGTGGTATATCACTCTGAATACCTTGGTTTTATCTACTACACGATCATTATCGACTAATTGTGATAGAAGGGAGCTGCGTAATGATTTTATTAGACCAGATGACTATCAAAAGATAAAGTATATTGACAGAATTGTCAAGAACGATAGGAAGGAAAAAAAGAACTCACCTCAAGATCTAAAATATCTCGTAAGAGATGATACAACTTCAGAATCTCATCAAGCCTTGCCCGGCGTTCACTACACAGGTCACGTAAACCCGCATACATCTTGTCAATGCGTGCCTGTTTAGCGACAACAGCTTCAGACTCAGGATGATTGGCTTCCAATAAAGCCTGGCATCGTTCACCTAATCCACGGATTTCTGTGGCATAGTTCTCTACCGTTTTTTGTAGTTGTTCATGCTTTTTAATTGCGTTATTAGCGCCTTGTTCATCCTGTAAAAATATCAAAAGATAAGATGTAATTGAAAGATTATAACCTGATGTTATATCCGAGTGGAGATTAAATTACAGGTAACTCCCGAGGACTATTAATGGACTAATATTCTATAAATATTCTTATTGTATAATTATTCAACAATTACATTACGTATATTTATATTCCTCTTATTATAAGCTTTATTTTGACCTATAATTTATTATTATTATACGATTTACGGTTTTTAATCTATGCTCAGTCTATTATTCACTGTCCCCCTCGTGCACAGCCACTTTTTGGCTTATTTGTGTACACATGTTATTTTCTAATTTATGGTGCGTTGTGGTCTGTCTGGTTGATATATAAACCGAGTATGTTTGAAATAAACGATCTGCTCTGATTCGAAGCTGGTATTGTGTTCTGGACTCAAGTGGAAGGGCTCGGAGGACATAGGACCAGTAAGGACGCTAGACTGCCCGCACCGGTTGAACGTCATTGGTTGGCCTAGTGTAAAGATCCGTATAAGTCGTATCCGGATTGGTCGATAGGTCGCGTGGTAGCAAAACAAGACATCCAAGGTCATAACACCTGATTAAATAAATAAAAAACAGTACTTAAAAAAACATAACAGTAATGGGGATTTGGTGCTCATAAAACTGCAGGTAAATGAGGAATAAAAAACTGACCTTTGCACGTTCATCACCCATTAAGTAAAGTTCTTGCTCTCCCATCCAAGCTTCAGCTTCGCTTGCATCGAATAGATACTGCTGAGCAACTTCATTTCGTGTTAATTGTTCTTGTCTTTCTCCTACTACATGTTGTAATTGTTCCCATAACACCCATAATTCATCTATGGCTTCACGGAATCGATCGCTTCGTGGATGACCTTCAAGTATCATTTGTTCGCCTTCCTGATGGTAAAAAATAAAATAGAATTTACATGAAGGGTTAGTATGAAACAAGTTTTCAACGAGTACCAATTGATATTGAAAATAAATTAAGAATTATGAAACGATAAAAAGTTCATTTTATCAAGGAATAGATCATAGAAATTAATACATGACTTTATTATGATATAAGCTGTAATATTAGAGATGGACACAAAACGTATCAAAATTAAATTGTATAGCAATTCACTACTTGAGACCCTCTTCAAGAAGGTCGTACACGACAAATTATACCTCCCTTAATCTATTTTCAGAAGTTAGCACAGATATTCTTTATAATGCAGTTTTTTTTTGTATTTCCAATTTTTAAAACCTAATCGCCAGTTTAGAATCCTCAAATAACAATTATATAACCATTGGCAACTTCTGGTTGACATAAACTTAGTATAAATATGCAGAAAATGTGAATGCTATTGACCAACTAACGAGATTTATGGACCTGCTAATATATCTGAATATAAGCTAACAACGAAAAGTGTAATGGTTGTTGTTTGCTTGGTTTTTATTTTAATTTGAAATCTTTGATAGCTTATTGTTCGACATACATTTGATTATCCCTTCAATCTTCTAGTTAAGTAGCTTTTCGAACTTCTTTTACTGTATCTTCTTAGTGTGTAACAAATAAAAAATTGTATACTATTTCGGTTACTTCTATGTTGTTCCAGTTAATCGGGTTTCCACAGCATAATAGAATACAATGCAAGTATAGTAATCAACTCGATAATCAATGAACTGAAGTACCAGAGATAAAAACAATTAACAACTAATAAAGAAAATTAATATCTTACGTGACAAACGGCATCAATACGTGGACGGTGATTATCTACTTCGTTAGACAGCATGCGATGACGTCTTATAAGTTGTTGTGTGGCAAGTAATGAACTTCCAAGCTTGCATGAGTCTTCAATAAGTGCCAACTTTTCTTTAATCCAGTCCTTCTCGTCTTCAATATCTCGTAAGAATTGACGAACTCTCTTTTGTTTAACAAGGCGATCACGGCGATCAGCTAGAGGAGCTTCTAATTCAGTAAGACGAATACGCACTTCCTGGTGAACTTGTTCAAACTCTTCACGACGTTCAGGATATTGTTCTTTGAGTTTTTCTGCATGAGTCTAAAAATGAAATACAAAAGTATATAAATCATTGTAAGCCACATGTTAAAATATGAGATATATATTTTAGTTGAAATTGTTATTTAGATATTTCCCATGTGAATATTAATATTTGGTGGTTCAAACGCTTGACTCCCAATAACGGGGTCAAATATACAGATGAATAATTCAGGTTTGGAATAGATTGGGTTTCTGATTCGGACTTCACCCATTGTCGATTGAGCATCCATAGATTGTTCATAGTACAAGAAAAATACGTGTATATGGGTACCGAGTTTATTTATACTGTTACGGCAACATTCAATAACATATCATTCACCTACAGTACTTTTTGTTACTAGTATTCATTGGGAATACAGATTTATTTTAGTCATTTAAAAAAATGAAGGTTTCATTACAAAGATCAACATATCTACTTCTTCGTGAATGTTTCTTTGCGTTTTTCAAAGTATGGGAATTGGGAAGGAAGGTGTTTCTGCTCCGAGTTTTAGGTTAATTTGTAGTTCCCGTGATTAACATAAACTGTTTCGTATTACATGACAATTAACTTTGGAATAGCTGGTCAAAAAACTTAAACTCGTCAAAAATATGTTTTCATGTACAAAAAAATGCTTACGGTAGAATATTTGCGAGAGGGGTATGTACGTGACAATTATTTAGCAGTTATCGGAATGTGGTATAAAGACAGAAAGATTTATCCTATCACACTAACCATTTTTGGTAGTTACTGTACCAATATAGTAAAATTTAATAATGATAGTGTTTAAATTAATGAAAACCACCCTGACTTTATACTAGTGATGAACAATGAATGGACAGTAATTATAAATGAGAATGTAGTCACTATACTATTAGTACGAAGCCAATTCTCATTACGAAATTCTAATCAATCAGATATGAATAAATATAAGGATTAGAAAGATAAAATTCGTTGTGGAATACAGAAAATGTAACTTACCGCCATATCTTGAAGCATTCGGCGTTTGGCAGCCAATTCTTGATCCTTGCGTTCTTGATCTTTGAGATGTTCATTGATTTCAACGAGACCGATTTCTTCAGTAACTTCTTCTGTAGTAGTAACTATTTGTGAGCTAACTTCAGTAATCCATGTAAGCATAGACTTAGCAGTTTCATCGAATAATGTTTCTATAGAAATAAAAATGTTTTAACCATTTTAAAAAATATTTACGGTAGAATAATGATAATAAAAGCAATAATAATGCTAACTACTCTCGAGGTGATCACTTACCTCTGTTAGCATCTGCCATTTTCGCGCTCTTATCAGCTGTAGTGGTGTTAAGGTCTTCCCACTGCTTACGTAAGGCAGATATTTTCGGTTCGACTTGGACTTGAAGCATAGGATGGGCTACAATAAGCTCTTCTCCCTCCTAGAACAGAATAACCCAATATTTATAACGTTAGGAAAATGTTTAGTGATAATTTTGATTTTATAGCTGATAAAGTCAACAATTTCACTGTAAATAAACCTTGTAGTTTTATTTCTATATACAAATATAGAGCGTGTGTGCAGTTAGAACACGTTCAGATAACTCGGTAATATGATTGTGACCCAATCGAACAACCACAACTCATTAGATATTTAAGTTTCAATTAATAATAGCTTTTCCGAAAACTAGAAAAATGAGCTATTGTGTGCTATTTGATTTACGAAACATATCTATGAGTAATTAAGATATAAAAGACATACTTCAATAACTTTGGCAATTTTCTCCTTGTTGGCATCAAGTTCGCCTTCAAACGCCTTAAATCGTCCATATAATGCAGCAATGCTTCGAGCAATAGGTGCCGGTTGCTCTGTAATAGCCATAGCTTTCTCAGCAAGCCATTCTTCAGCCTAAAAATGTTGAATACACTTGTTAAAATATATTATGACTTACATCGTCAACGTCCTGACAAAATTCTTGTAGATGTAATTGTTCTTTGAGTTTTGACCATGTTCATCTGCTCGCCTCTTTAGAGAGTCTCGTCTAAATAGAGATAATCGAACAGGATAAAAATAGTATGTCACACGAAAATCCGATAAGAATACTTTATAGATATGGGTCTAGAGGTATAAACTTACCGTCGTTTAAGTTGTTCACATTTATTTTGAATCTTTTCAGTAGGGAAAATTCCACGACCAACCAATTTCGCACCATCATTCAACACATTGTCAATCTTTTCATCGGTTGGCACCAATGACGTTCGGAAGGTTTCAAAATTACGAAGATTTTCTTGTGCCATCTCCAAATTGATCTAGTCAAGTGAAAACAAACGGTTATTTAGATAGAACTCTGAATCACTTTTATTTGAGATGAAGTTATAAATAAATAGTATAACAACAGCCAGGTGCCAGAGTAATTACCGTATTATACGGTGGGGAGAAAGAAACGAAAGTGGTGAGGGATTTTCAAACTTATGTGCCTTCAATAAACTGGTCATAGGCGGCACTATATTCCCACATAAACAAGTACACAAAGCGACATGGACTTCACCGGATCACACTAAGCAAAACCAAATTGACCATATCTGCATCAACAAAACGTTCAGGAGGACTATAGAGGACGTGAGAACCAAGAGAGGAGCTGATTTAGCACCAGATCATCACTTGCTGGTCGCCAAGATGAAATTGAAACTCAAGAAGCACTGGACAATGGGGCGGACAACATCACAAAAGTTCAATACGGCCTTTCTTCAGGATACTAACAAACTCAACAAATTCAAGATAGTCCTCAGCAACAAGTTCCAGGCCTTTCATGATCTACTCAATGGAGAAGGAACTACTGTGGAGAGCAACTGGAAGGGGATCAAAGAGGCAATCACTTCAACATGTCATGAGGTCCTGGGTCACAAGAAGCACCATCACAAGGAATGGATCACTGTTGATACACTGGATAAGATTCAAGAAAGGAGGAACAAGAAGGCAGCAATCAATACCAGTCGAACAAGAGCAGAAAAAGCCAAGGCACAAGCTGAATACACAGAAGTAAACAAACAAGTGAAGCGGAGCATCAGAACCGACAAACGTAAATATGTGGAAGATTTAGCAACGACGGCGGAAAAGGCTGCAAGAGAAGGAAACATGAGACAACTGTATGACACGACAAAGAAACTCTCTGGAAATCGCCGCAAACCAGAACGACCAGTGAAAAGCAAGGAAGGCGAGGTAATCACCAACATTGAAGAACAACGAAACAGGTGGGTAGAACACTTCAAAGAACTCTTGAATCGACCAGCCCCACTGAACCCACCCAACATCGAAGCAGCACCCACGGACCTCCCAATCAATGTTGGCCCACCAACAATTGAAGAAATCAGCATGGCCATCAGACAAATCAAGAGTGGCAAAGCAGCAGGACCAGACAACATTCCAGCAGAGGCACTAAAAGCAGACGTAGCGGCAACTGCAAGGATACTCCACATTCTCTTCAATAAGATTTGGGATGAGGAACAAGTACCAAAAGACTGGAAAGAAGGACTTCTGATCAAAATACCGAAGAAAGGCGATCTCAGCAAGTGTGATAACTACAGGGGCATCACTCTTCTCTCAATACCGGGAAAAGTCTTCAACAGGGTATTGTTAAACAGGATGAAGGACTGCGTAGACGCCCAACTTCGTGACCAACAGGCAGGATTCCGTAAGGATAGATCGTGTACAGACCAAATCGCAACTCTACGGATCATTGTGGAACAATCAATTGAATGGAATTCATCACTCTACATCAACTTCATTGACTACGAGAAAGCATTTGATAGCGTGGACAGAACAACACTATGGAAACTTCTTCGACACTACGGCGTGCCTCAGAAGATAGTCAATATCATACAGAATTCATATGATGGATTACACTGCAAAATCGTGCATGGAGGACAGTTGACAAAGTCGTTCGAAGTGAAGACCGGTGTTAGGCAAGGTTGCTTACTCTCACCCTTTCTCTTTCTCCTGGTGATCGACTGGATCATGAAGACGTCAACATCTGAAGGGAAGCACGGGATACAATGGACATCTAGGATGCAGTTGGACGATCTAGACTTCGCAGATGATCTGGCCCTTCTATCCCAAACGCAACAACAAATGCAGGAGAAGACGAACAGTGTGGCAGCAGCCTCAGCAGCAGTAGGTCTCAATATACACAAAGGGAAAAGCAGGATTCTCCGATACAACACAGCATGCACCAATCCAATCACAATTGACAGAGAAGATTTGGAAGATGTAAAAACCTTTACATATTTGGGCAGCATCATTGATGAACACGGTGGATCTGATGCAGATGTGAAGGCGCGGATCGGCAAAGCAAGAGCAGCATATTTACAACTGAGGAACATCTGGAACTCAAAGCAACTTTCAACCAACACCAAGGTCATGATTTTCAATACAAATGTCAGGACAGTTCTACTGTATGAGGCGGAAGCCTGGAGAACTACGAGAACCGTCATCTAGAAGAAACAAGTGTTTATTAACAGTTGTCTACGCAAAATACTTGGAATCCGTTGGCCGGATACCATCAACAACAACCAACTGTGGGAGAAAAAACCCAGATCTCGGCAGAGGAAGAAGCGCTGGAAGTGGATAGGACACACATTGAAGAAAGCACCCAACTGCGTCACAAGACAAGCCCTCACATGGAATCCTCAAGGCCAAAGGAAAAGAGGAAGACCAAAGAACACATTACGCCGAGAAATGGAGATAGACATGAGAAAAATGAACAAGAATTGGATGGAACTAGAAGAGAAGGCCCAGGACAGAGTGGGTTGGAGAATGCTGGACGGCGACCTATGCTCCATTGGGAGTAACAGGCGTAAGTAAGTAATGGTGGATAAGAATAAATCATTGAAAAGAAAAGCTCAGAATATTCTGCGTAAACATTATTGTAATGATGATGTGAGTGCACAATCCGAAATAAACAACTAAACTTTGTGAGACGTTTTTTCTAGTTCTATTTTATTACTTTATTTATTCCAATGGGCTAGAATATGTAGCAAATGAGCTATTATTATTAACCGGATTGAGATAATACTTTGCATGTGTATTTGTGGTTATTCTTTTGGGAATTTCGAAATGCAGTTACAAATGCACAGCTCTGAGAATAGATAGGAAAATATATTGTAAAGATTTGAGAAAAGTAGACAGGCATGAGAAATATAGATTAACTTACAGGAGCTTCTTCCTTGGAAACAACCTTCTCCATTTTCGCTAGAAGGACCTCCGCTTGTAAAGCATCTCTAAAGAATGTCTAATATAATTAGAACACAACATGACTTGAGCTTACTTGGGCTTCGACACCTTCTTGTAATGCTGCGGTGCGGTTTTCATACATTCTTCGTAAAGCTTCCCAATTTTCTTCGATACCGTCTAATCTCTGGGCCAAAAACATGTATTGGGCATCTGTCTGAACTTCAGTCACACGTCTGCCGAAATCCATAAGCCGATGAAAGTCATTTTCATATCCATCGATTTCAGCTTTTAATTGTTCATGTTGGTCTAAAAGGGTCTCTGCCTCCTAAAAATGTAAAGTTAGAAATAAGACACCTTAACTAACCTCTAAATTATTTGGAACCTCTTCAGAAGCTACAGTGATTTGTGTGCGACGAAGCCAGATTTGGAAATGATCTAAATCTTGTAAGAAACGTTGCAATTCGCTTGAATCATTAAGTCGATCATCTCTTTCTTTTACGATCTCTTTCAGTTCATTCCATAAGTCATGAATCTTCTCTTTTTCAGCTATAACAACCTAACGAAATTAGCATATTACGTAATCCATAACTTACAGCTTGAGTTTCTGGTTTTGCTTCAGTAAGTTCTTGGGCTTGTTCATCCAAGTGCTTAACCTTAGCCTCAATAGCATTTAAATCGCGTTGTAATCCACCAAGTCTACGCTGAAGCTGCATAATACCCTCCAAGTTATTATCTAGCTCATCGGTTGATTCGATTAACTTTGCTTTATCTTTTATCCAATTCGCTGTTTCTGAACTTTCGATTAAAAATTGATTATACTGGTAAGATAAATCTAATTGTCTTTTTTGTTTGTCAACAAGGTCGGCTAACTCATTCCATGATGCGTTAAGTTCATCTTGATGTCTTAATATCTTTTCAGCGTCTGGATGAGCTTTATCTAACATTTCTTCTGAAAGTAGATTTACACTACCAACCTTTTTGGCGTTTCCAGCCATTTCTTTTTCGAAACATTCGAACCGATGTCGAATAACCTCCAATTCTTCAATTTCGTCACTTGGAACTAACGTCGTTAAAAGTTTTTCTTTTCAGTTATCCATGTACGTACGGTATCTGAGTCATCAAATAGTTTATACATCGAAAGAGCATCATTTAAACGTTTATGCCGTAATCTACATAATTCTTTTACTAAAGCATAATGTTGATCGACCGCATCTAAACGATGTGCTATAGCTGTGGCATCACTGTCTGGATAATCAGAAACTCGTGATGCATCTTGATTTAGTTGAGATATTGTTTCTTGGTAGTTTTGAAGATTATCCATAACTTCCTGGTTGTTTTTCAGTAAAGACACTGTTGTGGCTTGTTTAAGACCTACATCTTCGTTGCTAACAATGCGTTGTTGGTCAGTCAACCATACATCTGCATCATCACAGTCTGCCATTAGTTGGAAGAAATCCTGTGACTCAATTAGGCGTTGTTTACGCTCTGTTATCAGGTCAACTAATTGACCCCATAATTGATTCATTTCAACGATACGCTGGGATATTTGCTCACCACCTTGATTTCCATCAGTAATAAGTTGCTCACCGTGCTTCAATGCATCTTCTAAAACAGCTCGATGCATTTGACACTCTTCTTCAAGAGCTTTATGTTTACGTAAAAGTCGACTTACTGAACTTAGATCATGACCCAAGTCTGGACTGGACATAAGCTGGCTTTTTTCTTTAATCCATTCCTTTTCATCCTCCATATCCCAGAAAAATTGCCACATTTCCCGTGAATCCCGAAGACCACGAAGACGAGCCTCCGCCAAGTCATGTAAATCATCATACGCCGCACGTAATTTTTCAGTACGCTCCTGAACTATTTCGGGTTCAATTGGTTTGTATGCACCCATATCCGGCGTAAATGACCCAACAATAAATGGAGTGGCCTGGTCAACAACCTGATTCATTCTACCGCCGAGGACACGAATGTCAGCTTCCAATAAATTATGCTTTTGCAAGAGGTCCTCAACACCCATCAAATGTTTACCATAATCCTGCGACTTAAGACGGCTCTTTATTTCTTCGATCCAATCCATCAAATAGGTCATTTCTTGGAAGATATGTTGTAACTGTAAACTTAGTTCTAGATGCTGGCGTCTAATGCTAAGTGAGTCCAATAGATTACGCCACATAGCAAGTACTTTATCTCTCCGCAACTGGATATTTTCATGAGCATGATAATTTTCTCTCTTCAGCTCCTCTGCAACATTGACCATAGCATTTACACGCTCTTCATATGCATATATATCTGTTTCTATGGCCTCATGCTTCTTTGTTGCAGCTTCAACAGCAGCAAGGTTATCACCAAAGAACTCTTGTAAAACGAGTCGTTGATTATCTGTAAGCCAAGTTTCTCGCATTCCAGCTTTACGGTCGAAACGAGAAGCAAGTTGTTCCAACTTCTCCTGACGTATAAGTTCATCTCGTACAGCTAATTCCCGTGCATGTTCAGCTCTTTCAAGCATTTCCCAGGCACGATTTATATCTGCTATCATTTTTCCTTCGGGTGGATTATATTGTCTTTGATTGTTGGCACGCATTTTACTGCGAATAGTGAAAAGTAAAACTTCAAGACCCCCTTTTTCTCTGAACTTGGGAGGTTTTTCGACGGTTCGGTAAGTGTTGAAGCCAGCTAACTGGTGTTGAACACCCGAAAGTGAATTGGCGAATGTACGGTCGTCTAAAAGCTTTATGGTTTTCTTTATCCAGTCAAGAAGATCAGAAGTTAATTGTTCATATTGATTGATCATGTCATCAGTTTCAATGGCCTGGTTGACAACCTTACCAATCCTTTTCGAATGTACAGTATCAGCTTTCATTTTGTTAAAGTAGTGGTAATATGTAACAACATAGGTAATAATAGACTTTTCATCTGGTTGTTCAACAGCCACGTCAGATGGTTCTAAAAGAGGATGAAGATTTAATTTTTCTTCGGCAACACTGAAGGCGGTAGTCAGGTTTTTAATTGGCTCTGATTTAGACAGTTTGGAGTATTCAATTAGATCAGGTCGGTGTTTATGAATTAAAGCATTAAAAGCTAAACCATCACGCCAACTTGTCGTAAAGTTCCGAACATTTACATTGGGATAACCTGCAGTTTTCATTTGGCACCACAATAACAAAGCGTCTTTAGCGCATCGGGTTTCACTTGTCTGATATTCTTCAACAATTATATCTTGGATTTGGAAACGCAAAATAATTGTCCAAATAAGTCCAAGTGTTAGTCGTGAATTTCCGTCTACGATATCGTGAGCACCCACATTTTCTAGGTGAACATGCTGATCACACAGGAAATTTAAGGACTTGTCAACATTCTCTAAACAATGGATTCGCATTTTTCCCCTTGTGGGTCGAGGAAGACGTTCACCAGATAAAATTTCTAAGAGTTTTAGGAGCATTTTCCCGTCCCTTAGATCTAGGTATAGATCTTCGATGTTGCAAGACACAACCGAAAGGTGGGAGTTCACCCATTTTGTGAATGTCTTTTTCTGAACAACCTCACGTTCGTCTATAATGATACTTGGAATTAAACTATCACAAAAACTAACCTGCAAGTGCTTTAATACGCGATCGTTCGTACAGTTTTGCTGTACTGTTTCCACTTTCGAATTCATCCTCATCAGAAGTATAATTGGCATTCTGTATGTTATTAGGTTCCCAGTGTAAATTTTGGTGGATTGCCTGAATCTCCATCTCTGTGAGAACAAACAATAACACGAAAACAGATTTTCAACGTAAGGCAACATGAACTATTTTTACAGGATTTTAGTGGAGGTGAATTTACAAACCTATCATCACCAAATTGGATTTATAGTAATATTTATAAGCTAGAATATTAGTGCAACCTTCGAGACAGGGCCAAATCCACATACTAATGTTCACGAAATGTTATTGCAAAGTGAAAACCACCGGAACTTTGCCTCTGACCTATTGTCATCTCTTACCTCTTTTTAAGGAAAGTACAACCACTGGCTTCGCTAAACACGAGTCATCTCATCTGCTGACAACCAAAATTGAAGGTAGCAAGATGATATATGATCAACACTCAGGGACATCATTTTATAGATTCTTGGGTTTGTTTCCTATACACCTAAAACTGACTGGTAAATCAACAATAACTGATGGATAAGTACAACTTGTGAGCTGTGTAACAGTCCAACTCAAAATCTGTAATAAAGTATTAAAGTGAAGCAGAGAATTCCTTTGAGATGGTCATAAGTTGAGTCTGGAATAATGTCTGACAATCAGAGCAATATAGGATTAAGATTCATTTGAGTTAAGGACTTAGATTTAGGGTTGTTTTCAGCGTGCTGCTATACGTCGAACCATTCAGCTCATAAAAATGAAACGTCAAAAATGTCTTACGTAGTTCCTGTTTACATTAACACAGAGGGAAAGTTTCACCTCAAGATTGTGTAATCTGTTCTTAAGACGATAAACAGGACTGATTCCAGTTGAACAAATCATAATAAAAACAAGATAATCCAATGTAAATAAAGAGTAAAAAGTTTCATTGCTACAAAAATGTTATGAATTGGTTTTGTCTGGCATACTGCAAAAAGGCCCATCGGTCGTAAACAACATAGGACGAAATAAATGTGCATCACTCCAAGCTGACAGAATAACAAGATAGAATTGACTAAGGAGTTTCAGTAAAGTTATCAAATAGTAGAAACTAAGATTGGAAAGAGAGTAAAAAGGAACTTATGAAAAGTATGGAATAATACTAAGCTCAATAGTTAGCATATATAAATTTGTTATAGCCTAATCGACTTTGAGCCACATCATCCAAACTCGTTAGCATCAGATTACGACTATCTAGAATACCCAAATAAAGCAAGATGTGTCTCTCGACAGAACCCAGAGCAACATTCGACGGCTTCACAAATTGACCTTCTCCTGGCATAGCTACCCACAGCCTCATTTGGACCATAGGTTACTATATTCGTAGCTTTACGCTAGTGACTTGATGGCTTCACCATACATGAGAAATGATTCGAAGGTAACTGTAATACAATACTAGGAATATATCGAAGTTACATATCTCTTTAAACCATGTTTTATAGCTATAAATACTTGGTGCACTGCCACGCAGCATACTCTTTAGTTGATAAGTAGACGGATAATTTGTTTGGATGACAATAGACATGAGTTGGCAAAATTCAAATGAGTGTTTTTGACCGTGTCAAGATTTTGTTGAACTATCCAACCGTGACTCTGGATAATTAAAGTGGTTGATGAGCTTAGCTAAATAGTAATTCAACGTAAGTCATTCAACAAGTTGTTCACCCAAGAGAAGATGAGTTCCTGTGAAGGTTAGTGATACTAACCGTCTGATTAACTTGAATTCAGTGGGGCGAGGTTTGTACCTAAGGCCAGATGATTTAAGTCTAGTAGGACTACTCTATGCAGTCATATTGAATATTGATGCACACCAATACTGGAACAAAAATTTCAATTTTGGTAGGAAAATTTATTCTAAATACTTTTGTACGGTATGTGTTCCATCAATTGATGTAGGGTTGACAATTAGTCAAAACAAGCAAGTCTTAGACTCATATTTTCTGGACGTCTGCTCTTCATGGGTCTATTGTGGGAAAGTTATCCCATTTTACATACAATGTGATGAATCAGTCAATTTTTTTTATAAATTTATAGTTCACTGTTTTGATAACATCGATATCAGATGCCCAAAGTCAAAAGTTTCCTACAGGGATAAAGTTGGAAACAACGTAGCACAGTGTATATACTGAAACAAACTTCAGCGAGTTGATTTTTCTGAAGTTGTAATACATTTTACTAACCCACAACTTCATAAGTCTGCGTAACTGGTAACTTAGTGAATGAGGATACGTAGTAATACAAATAATTAAGAAAGTGAAATCTAACCAGGGATTAATTAGTCATGTAATAATAATAAGTTACTTTCCCGTTTACTAAGTTAAGTAGCTATACACCACAAACACTGCTTATCACGAATAACAACCAGAGCTACTGATATATCTTGTGCAGAACAAGGAAAAATTGTTCACAGAGGATCAGGTCCAAGAAATTATGGGTAACGAACATCAGTTGCTTGTAAGTCTATGTACTAACCTTAAAATGAAACTATCGAATATTACCGTTAAGAAACAAGATGTACAATCCCAACATACTGAGTACAAGCACTCAGTGGTTTAAAGGTACTTTAAAAATAAATGCCGAGTCAAATACAAGAGTATTATCTTGAGTAAATCAACCCATCTGACTTGTGGCTAGATATAATGTTGTAGTAACTAAGACTAATCCATATTCATGATAGATCCTGAGTAGCTTTTGTCTGTATGTTTCTCAACACAAATTACAGTGATTCAACTGGAAGCAAAACCTTTCTGAATCTGAATAATGAAACTATTCGTCGCTTGATAGTAATATGATTGAAGGCTGGTTGGAGGTATGAAAATTACTTGACGATTTACCTATTCAAATCAACTTGCTAAAATCTGATTAGTCAAAATGTGTTGGAATTCACTTTCTGAACTTGGCATAGAGAAAAAACTACAAGATACATATAGCCAGAAATCTTTCTAACTTGGAAGCTTTGATAGAGAACATGAGATGTTTTCTTTATTAGGTTGAAAAAAAAGCTAAGATCATCTAGTCTCAAAGAACTGCTAGATTACATTGCTTTAAGACTCGATGGAAACTGAAAAGTGATCGAAGCAAATGTGAAACCAACAATCCTTCTATACTAAAATGGACTTCAATGGTACTAATCAGATCTAATCTGCTATTAATGCGCGGGTGATGTTCCAGAGATGCCGGACAAAATTACATTGTTGATACTATTCTGATGTCAATAATGGCACAGCTAAGACGATGCCATACTGTATATTACCGAGATCATTCCGTAACTCTTGATAAATAAAATAGGTACGGAGACTTACCAGCCAAAGTCCCCAACCTTTATCTCAACCTTGAATGAAATGCGCGCGTCAACTTGCCGCCATGTGAGAAAGCCCTCCATAGTGTATACTGTTAAAATTTTAAGAATATATTCAGGAACTAAGTAATTAAGCTTTATTTCAGCTTTCATAGCACAAAAATCCGCATTTTGATGCCTAGATCTTGCCGTTTTTAAGAGCTAAAATGTCTTATACACATAATCCTCATATGTTTCTGAAAATTATTGCGGCGGTAAGTAGTTCCCCAAAACTGACAGCTTCAAAAGCATTTATCATTGACACCAATCATTCTATTTTTGACGGATACAGTATTGGCTGAAGGCCCTCGGTCAGGTATCCACGCAAGATCACGTTTCAACCCATCGTTGAACACATCACTTCTGACGTCTAGCTTGCTTAGAAACTGTACGCAGAGATGAAACTGACTATATCTCACTATTTATTTAAACATAAATGTTGGTCGAAGGAGCACGGAGGTAGGCACGAGCATAATAACCGGAAATTTAGATTGCGTGGAGATATATGAAATAGGGATGTTAAGTAGAATTTTTAATAACATGTCTGGTAATGGTGTCCAAATCCTGTGAATTAATTATTAAGGAGTTTCAGAAATATGGGACTTTACCCATGGACAAAGGTTAGATGAATTTTCTGTGATATCGAATTTAAAATGGCTTTGGTAACAGAAAATTTGTCATCGATGAGAGAAGTTTTTGGCCAACGGACATTCTGCTAACATCTGCCCAAATAACTTTTAATTCACATCGGGTTCAAGAGCTTCTTGTTTATTTTTAACTCATCGTTGTCGACAAACCAGCTTCATTTATCGATCCAATCTCAGAGATCAACAGAAGTTCCAACATTGTTGTTTGCCCTGTCTCAGAAAGGCCTTACACAACTCAAGGCTAAATTACAGATATCTGAAACACTTTTACTCGCTTTATTAATCTTCGAGCCAGTTCAGACAACATCGAACTCATTAAAAAATTCTTGACTCAAGGGGTCTCGATTATATTAAAAGTAAACTCGTGATTAATGTTGATAAGAAAACAAATATGGCTAAACGTCCCGAAATTTCAGAAGGTCTGACTATAACATCCCTTATGTATGTATATAAGCATGTGTATCGAAGACCTCTTGTATGCATTTTGTGTGACACCCACACCTTGTTTTATCCCCAATGTAAGATCACCATGCTATTCTATTTACTTATTGTTATAAATCCATGTTACTGTACCCTCTATTCCATCTTAATATCGTCAGCATATGAGGGAATTTAAGACTTAAGGTAACTTAGTAGATCGTTGATGAACACTAAGAATAGTGCTACAATGATAGAACCTTTCAGTAACCTAATGAGCGTTTTTGTTTAAAGAAGTGGAGGAAAGGGAACGCTAACACCTCGTAATGTCTATATAAAGCAGTACCATAGACATTTCTTCAAGCGCCTACCGACTCTCATTGAACTTGCGCGCTCTATTTAAAAGGGCAGTGGTATTATTTCTCGCTGAGTTAATTAACTGTTTTGATCGTAAATTACGCATCAAAACTACTGTTTACACTTTAATTGCATCTACCCCAGTTAAAGTGATATTGTATTGAGTTTTTCGATTTTGCTTCTGTGTATTTATTGCATCGAAGCATACTTGGTCGACTTTTACTTGGTTTATTTAGTTAAGGTTTGAAAATCCTTCTACATATCCTGTTTTTGTCACCGTTCTAGTTGATTTTCAAGATGGCTAGGTCTACTCATAAATGTGGACAACCATACTGCTTATTTCCCGTGGATGAAGGGATGCAATGTGATGAGTGTAATAAGTGGTTCCATAAGATGTGCACCCGATTAAGCCCCACTGCATATAAAAGGTGTTCAAAGCCCAACTCTCATTGGCTTTGTAGTTTTTGTTGCTCGAGCAAAACATTGCTTATCCAGGAAGCAATTAGTCTCCTGGTGTTGGCTAATAAGAAGGTTGATGAGGGCTGTACTGATAACATTGGTACGGATGGCGAAGATTGCGTTAGTGTCGTAAGTGCTATCACGGCGCAAGCCAGACATCTACCTGTGCAACCCGCAGTTAAACGTTCTCCCCCGAAACGATCAGTGAGTGACACGTCATTAGACGTTGGTGGCCATATTGCTACAGCAGCAACCGGTGACCCAGATAAAACAATTACTGTCCCGAGTTGTTCTAATGTAGACGTTTCGACTGATGGAAAATGGATGACGCGAAAACGCAGAAGAGTAGGAAAGATAGCTAAAACTAATGACTGTTTACTTGGTAAGTCCTTGGTGGACTCTCAGACCAATCCGCCAAAGTCCATAGTAAAGCTTCGTCTGACATTGTTGTGAGTCATTCGCTTGACTCCCAGGACTCTGTTAAAATAAAAACTAATCGTAAGATACCAGTAGTTAAAATACAGGATCTAACGTCACGGTCGAAAGCTGTGAACACAGTTTCAAAAGAAGCTAAACCCCTCCCTAGTTTAATTATTTGGAATCTAGAGGAGTCGAAAGACAACGACCCTGCTAAAAGACACGCACATGACCTACAGTTAGTGGAGTCTGTGGTAAGGAATGTACTACCTGAAGAGGTTTCAGGGGTACATATTACAAAAGTAATACGACTTGGTAAATGGGTTGGAGGCGAGACCCAACCAAGAAGGATCCTGAAGCTGGTTCTCGGGAGTTTTGAAGAAAGAGACATATTATTGAAAAGCGCACAAAAACTCGTGCCTCAAATATCCGTATTCGACCAGATTGGCCGCTTGAGGATCGAATCAAGTGGAAGAATGCTCTTACGGAGTTGAGGACTCGCAAATTAAATGGCGAAAATAACCTTACCATTAAGGGTTTTCGGGTAGTCAGGTCTTGGAAGCCAATGCTTCCGAGGCCTGTATGGGTAGAACGATTGATTTCCAAAACACCTTAAGTGTGTGCTACACGAACGCTCGTAGTCTTAGAAATAAAACGTCCGAGCTAAGTCTGATGGTGCAAGAATTATGTCCCGATATAATCGTTGTTACAGAAACTTGGTTCACCGTTGATATAGACTGTTCTCCTTTCATTGCTGGTTATATCTGTATCAGAAGTGATAGAGTTTCAAGTCGCAAGGGGGAGGTATAATATTATACGTTAGGGATCACTTTCGTATACAATCAACCATATCGGAGGCTCATATCAGTGGCACATGTGAGGTTGCATGTTGTAAGATTAAATCTAGAAATGGGTTAGTGACTATAGGGGGAATATACCGTAGTCCGTCTTGTCTTGCTGACGACTTTATCCTAAGACACATCTGTTCTTGGAGTATGGCAGAATGTTGTCTCATCATTGGGGACTTCAACGCACCGCATATCAACTGGATAGAGCTTACAGCTCCAGGTAGTGGTTTCGATAGCGACCTTTTATCTACCGTTATTCAGTGTGCACTTGTACAATGTATCACAAAACCGACACATATTGATTTGCATCATGTTCCGTCACTGCTGGACCTCGCCCTCACCCACCACTCTGAGGATGTCTTTGATATCCAGCACCTTCCTCCACTAGTGAACAGTGATCACGTTGTAATTCACTTTAAGTTTAGGACACATGGTATACAATTCGTATCTGCTCCACCCCGTCCCAATATCTGGCGAGCTAATATTCCGGAAATCAGAAACCGTGCTATCTCGACTGATTGGTCGGTCGACGCGGATGGATTGATCGAAGATGAATGGAATAAGTTTAAGGCTACATTCGAGTCCGTAACGTCGCCGTTTATCCCATGGTCAGCACGTAAGCTATCACATTGCCCTCCATGGATTAATAAGGAAACCCGGAAGCTGTTAAAGCGTAGGAAACATTTCTGGGACTTATTCTTGTTGACAGGTCATGCACCATTTAAGCGTGAGTATCAAAAATACCGTAATATCTGTAAGAAAACCATAGCGAAATCCCGTACCACTTACGAACGACAGTTAGTATATGATAGCCGTACTTGTCCGAAACGATTGTTTTCGTATGTTAAACGGCAAATGAAACGTAGTGATGGTATTCCCCCGTTGCTGTTACACGAAAATTCAGAATTACTAGCTGAATCAGATCGAGCAAAAGCTGAGACTTTTTCAGATTATTTTAGCGAAGTCTTCTCTACGTTTATTGTAACAAATACTTGTCCCACTCACACCGAGATACCAACCATTGAATCCGAAAAAATGACTGAGGAAACTGTCCTTCCGTTGATAACTAACCTCAAACCTGGTAAGATACCGGGCCCTGACGGGTTACATCCACGGTTGCTGTCATCTCTTGCGGACATTATTTCAAAACCGCTTGCGACACTCTTCAACATGTCCCTCTCACTCGCTCAACTCCCTAGAGATTGGAAGGACGCTATAGTTAGTCCTATATTTAAGGACGGTCAGCGACAGATAGTATCTAACTACCGGCCTGTCAGTCTAACTAGCATAGTCGTTAAGTTACTCGAAAAGATAATTCGGGTTAGGTTGCTAAGCCACATAGATTTACACAATCTGTTAGCTCCTGAGCAACACGGATTTCGTAACAAGCGTTCATGCTTGACTAACTTGCTTATTGCGAGGGAGGATTGGACAGCAGCCCTAGATCACGGTCTGTCTGTCGACGTGATATTCATAGATTTTAGCAAAGCGTTTGACAAGGTTTCACACGTAGGTCTTATGCAGAAGCTCACGAGCTTCGGAATAATAGGTACTGTACATGAGTGGATAGGAAATTTCTTATGTGACCGCAGACAGAGAGTTAGGGTCAATGGAACGCTATCCGATTGGAAGCCGGTCAAAAGTGGTGTACCCCAAGGCACCATCTTAGGCCCTCTGCTCTTCCTTCTCTACGTTAATGAGTTACCACTGTTACTTAGGTCGTCGACATTATTGTTTGCAGATGATGTAAAAATCTGGAGAACAATAAAAAGTGCGGCTGATCATGTGGATCTTCAAGCTGATTTAGACGATTTAGTTAGATGGGCTCGAGAGTGGGGCTTAGAAATCAATGCTAGGAAGAGTGTACTAATGCACGTCGGTCACGGTAATAGTTACCGTTACACTATTGAGGGTAAACCTCTTCCATGCGTTCAAGAGCATAAGGACTTAGGAGTAATATTAAGTCATGACTTAAAAACAACTGCGCATTGCAAAGCAGCCGCTGTCAAAGGTTTTCGTGCGTTATGGTCACTTCGCCGAGCGTTCAAATCTTTTGACGAGGAAACGTTTCGAATTTTATATCCCATATATGTTAGACCACATTTAGAGTACTGTATCCAAGCAGCTAGCCCGTGTCTAGTAAAGGATACTAACTCCCTTGAGCGTGTCCAGCGTGTGGGAACGAAATTAGTGAAGGGTCTTTCTAGACTCCCTTACGATGAGCGCTTAAAACGCCTAAATCTTTTCCCCTTGTCGTATCGTAGGACACGAGGTGACCTTATACTGGCATTTCGTATCTTTAATTATGATTTGGGTGTTAATATGTCTTATCTTTTTGCTCCCTCCAGCACTAATAATCTCCGAGGTCATAGCAAGAAGGTTCATAAACCACGATCTAATAAACTTAAAGTGGGATCCCGTTTTTCTCATCGAGTAGTCAATCATTGGAACGCCTTACCCGAACAAGTGGTATCAGCCCCATCAGTGAATACTTTCAAGGAAAAGCTGGACCTTCACTGGAAAGCAATGTGTCAGGATTAACACAGGTTCATCAACCTACTATCCTTATTACTGAAGACTGAAAACTGATTTTAGATTCAGACAAAGAATTCGATGAGCAACACTGTGAAAAAATTAAAACGATGCGGACGCTCCAGGATTTCGCTGTACCGAGTTCTAGGTCTTTTCTATCCAGATGTTATTAGGGCTATTAAGGAAGTCAGTGAAAATTCTACTTAACATCCCTATTTCATATATCTCCACGCAATCTAAATTTCTGGTTATTATGCTCGTGCCTACCTCCGTGCTCCTTCGACCAACATTTATGTTTAAATAAATAGTGAGATATAGTCAGTTTCATCTCTGCGTACAGTTTCTAAGCAAGCTAGACGTCAGAAGTGATGTGTTCAACGATGGGTTGAAACGTGATCTTGCGTGGATACCTGACCGAGGGCCTTCAGCCAATACTGTATCCGTCAAAAATAGAATGATTGGTGTCAATGATAAATGCTTTTGAAGCTGTCAGTTTTGGGGAACTACTTACCGCCGCAATAATTTTCAGAAACATATGAGGATTATGTGTGTAAGACAGTTTAGATCTTGAAAGCTACAAGATTTATGCAACACCATACAGTTCTCGATTTTTTCACTCATTAATATTGTCTATTTTTGGTTCAACAGGGGAATGTTAACATTCACCTTTTCATCCAGTTTTGATTTTCTTCGTGTGTCATTCCCATTGTATGATTTTCAGTGACTGATTTGATTTTCTGTATTCCACGATGTAAACTAATGGCTACCGCCTGTTTGCTTCAGCTCAAGTTCATTGAACTGATTTATCGTCTGACGACAGAACTGCATTCTTAGTTTGCCAAGAGCGTAATTTCTTCTTAGTAATCAGTTTTGAGGTTTTTGACGTTTTATTTACTTGATATTTTATGGTTTAGAATTCACCGATACTTTTGAGTACTAACTGAACAGTACCACTTGAATGATGAACTGATTAGGTATTCTGCATAGTCTATGTACATTAAGCGTAACTCCGGGTTTAACTTGTACTGTGGGACTCTTTAGTTATCCTCGCATAGTGGGACTTTAAGACGATTGCCGCACGATTTGTTGCACAACACGAGGAACGATGTGTCCGCGTTGACCTTTAATAACCTGAACTATTTTTCGTATATCATTCAACACTCAGTGTTACTCAACTACCACTACCACTTCACTAGCTTACGACAGTTGGTAGATGACAGAACATTATGGTAGTTGTAGCTAGTTCACTCGCAATCAATCTTAGCCTTGAAATACCTATCTGCATACGTTTATACACGTTTGTGATACTAAAACAGTCGAACAATAACGCAGTACACAAACTTGTTGTAAACAATCGTGATCCACACATATCTGAGCGAAATAACGATTGTCCACGATGAAGCAGTCACTTAAACGCCTACAGAATTACTTATTTACTTACTTACGCCTGTTACTCCCAATGGAGCATAGGTCGCCGACCAGCATTCTCCAACCCATTCTGTCCTGGGCCTTCTCTTCTAGTTCCATCCAATTCTTGTTTATTTTTCTAATGCTTGTCTCCATTTCTCGGCGTAATGTGTTCTTTGGCCTTGATGATTTCAACTGAGAGTTTGCCTTGTGAAGCAGTTGAGTGCTATCCTCACTGTGTGTCCTATCCACTTCCAGCGCTTCTTCCTCTGCCGAGATCTGGGTTTTTTCTCCCACAGTTGGTTGTTGTTGATGGTATCCGGCCAACGGATTCCAAGTATTTTGCGTAGACAACTGTTAATAAACACTTGTTTCTTCTAGATGATGGTTCTCGTAGTTCTCCAGGCTTCCGCCTCATACAGTAGAACTGTCCTGACATTTGTATTGAAAATCATGACCTTGGTGTTGGTTGAAAGTTGCTTTGAGTTCCAGATGTTCCTCAGTTGTAAATATGCTGCTCTTGCTTTGCCGATCCGCGCCTTCACATCTGCATCAGATCCACTGTGTTCATCAATGATGCTGCCCAAATATGTAAAGGTTTTTACATCTTCCAAATCTTCTCTGTCAATTGTGATTGGATTGGTGCATGCTGTGTTGTATCGGAGAATCCTGCTTTTCCCTTTGTGTATATTGAGACCTACTGCTGCTGAGGCTGCTGCCACACTGTTCGTCTTCTCCTGCATTTGTTGTTGCGTTTGGGATAGAAGGGCCAGATCATCTGCGAAGTCTAGATCGTCCAACTGCATCCTAGATGTCCATTGTATCCCGTGCTTCCCTTCAGATGTTGACGTCTTCATGATCCAGTCGATCACCAGGAGAAAGAGAAAGGGTGAGAGTAAGCAACCTTGCCTAACACCGGTCTTCACTTCGAACGACTTTGTCAACTGTCCTCCATGCACGATTTTGCAGTGTAATCCATCATATGAATTCTGTATGTTAGTGACTATCTTCTGAGGCACGCCGTAGTGTCGAAGAAGTTTCCATAGTGTTGTTCTGTCTACGCTATCGAATGCTTTCTCATAGTCATTGAAGTTGATGTAGAGTGATGAATTTCATTCAATTGATTGTTCTACAATGATCCGTAGAGTTGCGATTTGGTCTGTACACGATCTATCCTTACGGAATCCAGCCTGTTGGTCTCGAAGTTGGGCGTCTACGCAGTCCTTCATCCTGTTTAACAATACCCTGTTGAAGACTTTTTCCGGTATTGAGAGAAGAATTATGACAATAATAATCATCGGTAAAGCCATAACGTATAATCAGTACGCCTCTATTTCTGTAGTTTCAACTACGATGGGGACATTTACCGTTTGGCGAGTCAGAACACTGAGAAGTCAACCGAAGTAGACGAATAAGCAACAAGAAATAAGGCTCCAGTGTTAACAAACAGATATCAATGACTCCATCACTCCGAATTCTTTAACGCAGGTAGAATCATAATAATAGTATATTTCTGCATGAGCAGGTGCACGCCAGTTTTACGGGCATGATCCATAAGTCACAACAGTTTTTGGCGCACAGCATGCTTCCCAACTTATTAAGTTTACAGTTGTTATAATGTAGACTCAGAGCGCCCGCAGTAAATCATGACCTTGAGGAGACGCGTACGCCAAGTTTGTTCCAGACGTCAGAAGTTCCGTATCTGTGCCCTCAGAGCAAGATTGTGAAGAAAAAAGGAGAAACGGAAGGGCAGCAAGGTACATGTGTATGAACGCCAAACTTTGCCCAACATTGTTTAGTAGATCTGACAGAGGTATAGTAAATTAGATTAATTTCATATTATCTCTCTCTCGCGACGTCCTCGGATTTTCAGAAGGACTACTGAGTGCAGGAAGCTGGAACTGCCCTACATATTAGTCAAGGTTGTGGACTTGTAGATGTGCGCTGTACTTCGGTATTAGTACTACCATAATAATAGACCTAATCCGAAAACTGTGGATTTGTCGTGATATGAATATATGATCTATAAGACCTTATGTTGAAGCTACATCATTCTCTGCATTGACTCGTCCTATGGCAACCATCAGCCTTATGACGTCTAACATTACTGAGGGACACAGTTGAGCTGGGAAGAGAGTAATATACACGAAGAAAGAGGTTATAGTCACTGCGCCTGAATAACCGAGTCATGCTATTTCGGTTTATTGCTGCCACGTTCACCATTGTTGACCCTCTCTCCGCGTTTAGTGTTCAATATGAATTTCCTCAGTTATCTCGTGTTTAGCTTTAAGAATCGTATGGTTAAAACCAATTCCAATATACTACACTCTAACGGTGAGATTTTCTTCAATTTTGAAACCTCACTATGTCACAGTGGATAAACTTATATCCAGTGTTTTGTTTAGTTTAACCTATAGTTTATTGATTTCGGAACTCTCATCATTATGAAGAGTCAGTTCACTATTTCTGAAGTTAGGTGTCAAGTTTCGGGATGTAATTATAATCAAGGGGATAGTTCACATTATCCTAAAAGTAATAGTTGAGTAAGCATGTTTTCAGGAGACTGAGTGTTAATCTGAACGTCTATGAATTTTTGAATGATACATGAGCAATTAAATTAGGAAATGCATTGTCTGAGGGATAACCAGAATCGTTTTAATGCATATTTGTGCACATTATACACGTTTATTAATGCCATAATCTTTGTTTTCCTCCGATGAGAAAAACCGAAGAAGCAATGTATTTGGTTTGTATATTTGTATTTATTATCTTGGTAGTACATTTTGCTCAGCACTAAGATGAAATATAAAAGTTATCAGGCTGCAAACTTTTCATATGCTTAGGAACAGAGGGTCGAGGCATCGTTTAGGCCGTATCACAGTAGACTACACCACCCTAAACTGATGATGGTAGGTAGCCATTTTAGCGCTTAGTTACCAGGCGTTTTTTAACAAATTGGTTAAGAGCATCTCATAATTTTTTGCCTTAAGTGCCTACCACTAAGGAGAGTGGGAAGTAGGAGTTTGGGTACGTTAACATGGATGCTTAGACTATTTTGTCCATTAATCATTTATTAGCCTCGTGAGTTAGCTCAAAATCTTTCGGTTTTCCCTCACGGAATGTGTTCCAGATTTTATGCAAAGCTAGGTATGGCCAGGGGATAACGGTTAAGTAAATCTAGAAGGCTTCCAAGCCCTGTTAAAAAATCGGCATGGGATACTGCTCAATTGTATCAAGCTTGTTTTTTTACACCACCCCTTCGGAGGAATGACGCTAAGTGCCTTTTTGTATCCAAAAAAATGTTCAGGTTGTAACTTCGGTCTCCTATAACAAATGATCAACTGTTCAAACACTCCTCCCCATACTTTGTGTCCAGTGGAATGGTTATCCGCTCCCCATATTTCCGGGAATCTGTTTAGACTAGGGTATGGTTGGCTGCGCCTGGTTGATTTTAGCACCAAACTTCCAGTGGTACTTGTCGAATTGTCCAGAACTTTTGAACTGACGTGACCTGCTGTGTGACTGGAATCTTAGTCCTTGTGGTGGCCTACTCCGACTTGTGCGACAAATTTGGGTTTTGGTGACAATCTTTCACATGTCCAACACTCTCACTGAGTTCTAGTATAGCTGGGTCTTTAGACATTTCGTTTTGTTTGCGGCATATCGTACGTGATACGGCTGGCAGACCCATCTCCATCATTATATTTGTAGTACGTGCTAGGTTAATGGAAGGGATGTTCGACTTTTGTGCACTTCCTAGTCAGGTGTATCACAATAGTCATGAAGTGGTATTAGAGTCGTGAACCGACCAATTTTTAGTACCATTCATAATAAGTGACTTTAATTTGTCCTCTAGCACTCCACTTCATGGTGTTCACTTCTG